TTTATTTAAATTATAATTCAATTTTAATTAAATGAAATAAAAATTCAAATTATATTTTTAAATTACTCAATTCATGATACTTTATTTCATATTAAGTTAAAGGTAGTTTAAGAGGCTTCAACTGTGGAATAGTTTCTTTATTTAAACCAACACTTATAAATAACATTAGAATTTATTTTGTTCTCGCGATTTGTGCAGTCATTAAGTCATAGAGAAAAAATATAAATCTTACCTGTAAGTTCTCTAGGCATTTTCCTTTTCTTTATCGACAATGCCATCTGCAACTATTAGCAACTTGTATAACTTAAACTTTGTAGTTCAACACTTTTCAATGATCATTAAATTCATCATTTTTGTTTTTAAGGGGATGATCATTTAAAGCTACTAAACAAACAAAGAGGACAATAATTATAAACTTTCAAAAAAACTTTGATATTTAACTGAAGAAAAATTAGAATAAATAACGCGTAACAGCGCTTGTTAAAAACAAACGTAAACAGAAACTTATCAGCTGCTGGCGACTGAATATTGACGCGCAATTTACAGCACTGGCGCCAAGAAACAAGAAAAGCGTATATGGGCTTTTTATTCGAAAATGGACACAGTTGAAAATACGTGTTTAAGAAAATGGACACTGCTCGAAATGCGTGTTTAGAAAATGGGCACAGCTGAAAATGGCGTGTTTTAGAAAATGGACACAGCTCAAAATACAAGTTTAAAAAATTGATATTGATCGTTAAAATGGACACAGTTCAAAATGCTTGTTTAAGAAAATGGAAGCATCAAACAACGTTCCTTTTTATTTAATATTCCATCCAAATTTAAAAACAAAAAGAGGAATTTTGTACTTAATTTTCCTTACTTTGTAAAACATTAAATATAATCATTACGGGGAAAAGTCCCTTATTTAAGGGTTGGGGTGGGCATGTTACAGATGAAAAATTTTAGGCTATCTTTTCGGATTCAGTACACCGAACGATTAATTGGATTATATAAATCTTAAGCTCGTGCAGCGAAAATTTTAGTAATATTTTACTAACAATTTTATTGACATGATTTTTAATTTTTTTTTTAAACTTTATTTTAATGAGAAAAAAAAAATTTGACGAAGATTTTAATACAGCAGTTGTTTCTAACATGCTTGTGATTATTTGCAAATAAATTATAATTGTTGAGTAAGAATTAATAAACAATTTCTTAATAAGTTATAATATTGTAGGAATCATTTGAATCAATGACTGGCTCAACAAAATACTTATTTAATTATTATTATTTTTTTATTAATACTATGCTTCCAGAATTTGGGGATTTCGATAGTCCGCTTATGAAATGGATAATTGGCAAGCAGCCAACAAGGGCGAATCGAAAAAACTCAATCAGGGGTGTAAATTTTATTTTATAACAGTCGTTGAACAGCCGACTCAATTTCATGGGTATACCACTACTTATGTTCAACTCCGTATCCTTGTAATTTTGAACACAATCCAGAAGACAAGGAAACTCCTGGATCGAGTATCGGAAGAAATTTGCCTTCGTGGAGGACTTTTTTGATGAAGCTAACCCGCATTTGCGTTGCATGGAGAGGAAGACAACGAGAACTTAACCTGACTGCAAGGGGACTCTAACCCATGATCCGTCTACCACTAAGGATACACTGTGGTCGGTACAAGTCGGATGCGGAATTCGTATCGACTGGGATTCGAGCCCCGTTCACCTCATCGCGGCTCAGGGGTCAGGTCTCATATAAAGAGCGGTGGCTCGGCGGTAAAATGGATGACATATATCTTCTAGCTAACACCCCTGACAACTAATCAACTGGTATGTTTCCGCCTTCAAAACGATTAGATGCTAATCGCTGATTTTTCAGCATAAAGTTTTATCTATTATTCTTCGGAAATTTCCCTTTAACAAATTTTTCAGAAAGTTTTCACAAATCTTTATATTGGGTACTTACAACTTGAGAAGAAGTTAAGTGGTTATGACTAACCAAGTGATTCAAATCAGATTTGATTGGATACCTGTGAGTGACGACACACGTGTGTGTAGAACTTTATTGGCTTCTGAATCGACGAATGCCACAATTTACTGACGATGATCTCAGCTGCATGTATCCAACTGAATTAATAACGTCAATAAACCCTTAAGTAAAATCGATTATCTTCCTTTCTCTAAATCCATTGCCTATCTAATGCCACCGATACCGGAGTTAAGAAATTTATTTAGTGTAAAATTTGATAATCTTAATATTTTTAGTTTTGACTAAGTGGACTTAATTTCCAATTCTTCTCAATTTCCTTCCACATTTAGAAATTTCCTTGAAATGTTCAACTTTGGAATTGTAAATTTTTTTCTCCTCTTTAAACTCATAAAAAGCTTTAAATTACAAGATATTATTAATCAATCATTAGTCATAATCTGTTAAAAAGATTGTTTTTCTAAACTGTAAAAAATTACAAATCAAATTACGGTATGAAGTACCGGAACTTAGGATGCATCATCCATAAAATCCATTTTACTGCCAAATCCATTTTTATCTATAATATGCCGTAATTTTTACAGTAATATTAATGAGAGTGATTCTGTGCTTACACAGTAAATATTACTTCAAAAATCAGGCATATAAGATTTTTTTGTTCAGTATCATGTTCCGTGAAAATGGATTATATTGTAAAAAGTACCGGTAACTTAAGTGCCGGTACTTTTTACCGCAATTTCATCCGAAATTTTTTAATCTCTAATTTGTGTCTTGCATAATTATTATTTGAAATGAAGTTACCTCAAATTAGAATTTATATATGGTTTAAAATAAAAAATAAAATTTCTTCTGAATCATGCAACAAAAAATTATAACAATGACTAATTTTAACGGTGCTTACGAGTTCTTCATACAGAGAGATTTTATTACATTTTTACATTTTCACTTCAATTAGTAGCTGTCTTAATTTTTTTGAACTTGACAGAATTAATTTTTTTAAAAATGTCCTTTCATAGTCCCGCCAAATGTGAACCAACAGCATTTTCCCATAAGCAAATTTAAAATCAAAAACTACTAAAATCTTTTATAAATATCATTTTACAATACATTCCATTGATTTCCCTCATCGCAATCTTTTACATACATGCATATTCCTTTTTACTCTGAATAGGAGCATAAGGCTTCTATCCTATAGTTTTCCATCTCACTCTATTTGTGGCCAGATATTTTGCCTCTCTCTATGTCTTTTCTATGCACCAAGTATTTTTAGGTCTTCCTCTTTTTCTATTGCCTTTAGGGTTCCAATCAAAAACTTATTTTAAGAAAATTTCTCAGTTTACTTAGAACAGGACCAATTTCCATTTATGTTTTTTAATTTCCAGATCAATCGGTTTCTGTTTTGCTTTTCTAAGGATTTATGCATTACAAATTTTATGGAACCACTTGATACGCAAGTTATTTTTATTGCAGTGCCATGTCTTAGATCCATGTAGTAGAACATATTTAACATTAGAATTGAAAATTCTAAATTTTTGTTGAATTTGTTGCAATTTTTAACAATTTCATTTTTTGATGTGATTGAAAAAGAAAAGACAAACTAAAACATTCTTATATATTCCATTTTTTTTAACATTCTAATATTCGTCGAATTTGTTGCAATTTTTAACAATTTCATTTTTTGATGTGATGAAAAAAAAGAAGACAAACTAAAGCATTTTTATATTATTCCATTATAAAGGGAATGAAAAAGAGATACTGCTTTTTTTTTAACACTTTATTCTTATTCTTACTCTATATTCCTTTACTTATTTCTTTCTCTTTTTATCGAATAACTGTTACTGATAATAATTTTTTTTTCTTAACTATAAGCTCAATAATTCTAACAAAATATAAGTCAGTGAAACAGTAGTTTTCCATAAACAAATTTAAAATGAAACATTAATAATATTGAAATGCAATTTAGCATAAATAAGTATCCTATTACAATAAATTCCATAAAATATTTTTCTTCTCTTCTAACGCTATACTATTTTTTTATTGTTTGCAATTGAAAAAAAAGAAAAGACTCATGTATTTCATTATAAAGGGAATAAAAAAAGAGATCCTACTTTTTTTTCAAGATTTTTGATTTATTTACTCTTTTAACTGTGACATATTCATAAAATAAATGTACTCATTTATTTCACTTAATGCATTCCTTATTTTTTCTTAAATTATTAGCTGTTTTAGTTTTTTGAACTTCACAATTTTATTTTTTAATTATAAGCTAAATAGTCTTTCTTAGCCCAACCAACTGGGGACGAAACAGCATTTTCTCAAAATCTAATTTAAAATCAAATATTATTAAAATCTACCTAATAAATATTATAATACAATATATATCGTTGAATACGTCTTATTGCAATGTTATACCGTTTTTTATTGACTGCAAATGTAAAAAAAGAGCAAAAAGAAAAGACTTTTATGTATTCCATTATAACGGGAATAAAAAAAAGAAACTGTCTTTTTTTTAAAATTTTTTTTTTATTAAGACTTTTGATTTATTTCTTTTTCTTTTTATCGAATAACTGTTATTTGTTGATAAAATAAATGCACTCCTGTGTTTTAAAGAATATTTATTTCCCTATTCGTATCCATACAACCACAAGACTTAAAATAAAACTTGGCAAGCAAATCAATATCTTTCATTTTGGGGAAGAATGTAAAAAAAAAATATATAAGTCACGAACTGCCTTCACCTAATAGTATTATGCCCGAAAAGAAGGAACCAAGAAGACACGCTAGCAAAATAAAATAAAGAAAATAAAGAAAAAATCCTTACTATCAAATGGTGCTTAGTGAAAAGAAAAAAGAAAAAAAAAGAGAAACAAGAATGAATGGAAAATAATAATGAAAACAGAACACCCAAGAATCGATTCAGCTCGAAATTGGAAAAGGACTCCCTGGATCACCAAGAGAGGGCGCTGCTACAGTTTCTGCTCTTGGGTCTACGTCACGTGATGCAGCGCTCTTCTCTGCACACCTTCGTCGTCTGACGTTCACACTTTAACCCCACCAACAATCTAGCAGTAGGCACTTGACTGTGTTGTTGGTTTGTTCCGCAATGCGATTGGGCGCAAGGTGTGTGTTTTGAAAACGGATTTTTACCTTTGATTGCATCGCTGGAAGTTAACACAATTTATCATCTGACTATCATTACCAACACAAGGTTTTGAGTAGCTAAAATCCTACATCTGTATGATAGTTCACGATTAGTTTTTAATAGTAAATACAGGTGATCAGTGTTTACATGCATGATTACCTAATTTTATTCTGAACTGAAAATTTATTCTTTAAATACATTGAACCTTATAGCTGTAAACATTGCGGTTAGCGTAAATTTTATTTTTATCTAATTGTAAGAGGTTTGGCACGATTTCAAGCTCATGTAGCCTAATTTGGCACCTGTAGTTCTTTTTTATACCATCTTAAATTGTTCTCTATCTAAACAAAGTCGTGCTATTAATGTGCAAATAAACAGGTACTCGGTTTAATTTGAACTCCGTAACTCAGGCAAGTTTAATGTCTTTGCTGCTGTTTACACATTGTAAAAATGTGATACAAATAAGCTGTTTTTAATAATATCTCTGTTTATATATATATAATGGATAAACTCATCTTTGGATAACTACAAATGGAGCCAAATATTCGTAATAAGGATTTATCATCGATGGTTAAAAGCCACGGATTTTTCCGCTGTTGGAATTGGAACAGCAAAATATCGTTTGGCATTTCTGCAAACTCATTATTTTGTGCCTCTAATGATGTGAAAAACAATTTTTTACGTATGAAGATTGTGGACGATTTTTTAAGAAAATCAGGGAAAATGTTACTATGCTTATTCATACTATTTCTGCATGGTCCTGGCCTAGTCAACTGTGGTGAGTTACAATTGTTTTTTTTTTTTTATCTAATTAAAAAAATAACTAAAGAAATTGAATTTCTCAAATATGTTTAATTGATTTCAAAGATCATTTTTATTCTAATTTCAAAAACAAACAATATATGCTTATAGAATATTTATTATTTGTTTAGGATTGATTGCCCCGCTATTGTGACCTACTATTTTATCTTAGGTTTGTTGTGGGAGAAATCGAAAGTAAAGAAAAAATAAAAGTGTTAGATTTTTTTCCCCTTTTTGCTTTTTGCGTAGAAAAATAGTGTACCGCTGCTAAGTTATTATTGCACGTTTTTTTTTTATTATTTTAGTAATGTGGTTATTTAAAAATGAGAACGCTTATAAAAAGACATCTTAACGCATGCAATTTGCGTAATAAATTTTTATTCATATAGTTTTATACCGTTCGTATGTGTAAAAATGCTCCGAATTATTAAAAAAAGTGTTAAATTAAGAAGATCATATATTGTGAAAAGGAAATTATAAATAAACATTTTATTTCTTTTAAATTATACCAAATTATTCTATCGTATGTTAAATAATTTCAATATATTGTACGATGCGATTTATTAATTTATGTCAATTGATATAATTTTATTGTATTAATTTTAATGACATTAAAGCATACTGTGTAATATTATCCTTATTTATATACGCTAATTTTTATTTAAAGTATCTAATTTATGTAACTAGTAAAATATAAAACAGTAAATTTGTTTTTTTGAAGAAAAAAAAATACATTGGTATACTGGCATTTTGTAATAATTATGACATTATGCTTTTTATTAAATTCATTTTTAAAATAAAATTATTTTTAGCGTTAATTCAATGATTTCTTACTTAATTTACTACAATATCATATAACTAACTAATCGTCACTCCATCATTACTGTATATAGTTAGATTACATACATGAATTAAACTATTTTGTTATATTTAAATAATGGTGAGCTTTTTTAGTTTTTAATTGTTAGATTCATAAAGATCACACTCATAACTAAACCTCTGTTAAAATCAGTGATTTTACATCATAACAAAGCGTAAATTCAGTCATTTAAATGTAATAAACTAAAGTAGCTAAAAATGCATGCCTTTAAGGGAAAGCTGTGTCTTATAAAAATAATCTTTTCGTTAATATTATTTCTTAAAATCATATTGTCTTAAACTTAGTACGTATTTATTCTATTGAATAATGGTGTAAGATATCAGAATATATAGTTAAACGGTATTTCACTGAACATGAATTCGTTTTTAAATTTTATTGAGAGAAATTTTATCAATAACGAGGCGAGTTGAGAGAAAAATCAACGAATAATTTCAGAATTATCCCTAGTACGAGGTACAAATGTACTCATTTTCAAAATTATTTCTCTTCAAATTTTAAAATTTCTGTTATTAACTAATTTTAAAACATTTTATATTTTTTATTTAAAATAAGTAATAGAGTTGTAACGAATAGTGATTTGGCCGAACATCGAACATTCACCCAAACAAAATCGGAAAAATACTGAATATTCGGCCGCCGAATAACAACATTATTATTTTTTTCATGGAAATAAGTTTCATTAAAGATAATAAGTTATTAAGAAATATTTAAGATAAAAAAAACTAACAGCTATTAAAGAACAACAAAAAAAATTTAAATTTGAAGAAAAAGAAATAGAAAAAAAGACCCTCTTAATTCTTAAAACAAAACTTTAATGTTAAAAATATTTTCCGGAAAAGAAAATTATCCATAAAACATTAAAAGAGATAACATCTATAAACGCTTTTAAAAATGCAGTGCTAGCATAAAAACTCCTTTGAAAAACAAAAGCAAAGCAGAAAAAATAAAAATCGATCTTAATTTTGAAAGCAAATTTTAAAGCCAAGTATTTAAGTTTTCCAATCTCTGTATTTTAAAGAAAAAGTGAAGATTAAAGTCTAATACACACCCTCGTAATTACCTCGACCTAATAAAAACATTTAAAAAAAAAAAAAAAAAGGAAAAGCTGGATAGAAACCAAAACAAAAATCGTTCTTAATTTTTAAATGAAAGATTTAACGCTAAAAATCTTAATTTGACTTTTTCACCTTGCCGTACTTTTAGAAAAATAGCTACCATAAAAGAATAACGTTCATTAGAAACGCTCTCTAAAAAATGCTGTCATGATAAAAACTTTGATTAAAAAAATTTTTATAAAAAAATCAAAAGCGAAACAGAAAAAAAATTGTTCTTAGTTCTGAAATATAACTTGAACGATGAGAATCACAGTTTTCACTGATTATAGTTATCTGTCATATCGTACAAGAAAAAAAAATGGCGAAAAACAAATAAATAAAATAAAATAAATAAAGTCTGTTAGAAACGCTCCGTTAACATGCTTCACTTTAATTAAAACAGAAAAACAAGCAAAAATGAAACAACAAAAAAAATTCTCATTTTTTAAATCGTAAAGTGTTGAAAAAACGATGAAATGAACTTGCTTGAATATAATTGAAAGAAAAAAATATCGTCATTGGTTCAGTATAAAATTATCGAGTTTCAATTCTTCGAATTTCGCTTTTTCAAGTGTTTTTCAGAACATAAACCATCAAGTTTCGGAACTTAAACATGTACGATTTTAGATTATTCTTTATTAAATCTATTAAATCCCCCCCTCCAAAAAAAAACGAGGAAAAATAATTTTCCTAATAATATTTTGCGGAATATTCGGCAAAAGGGCCGAAAAGTGGTATGATATTCGTTACATCCCCAATAAGTAATACATTTTTAAGATTCCCATAGGATAATTTACAAATTTCAATGAATTTTACATACATAAAAAATAAAAACGCTAATTCTCGCATAAACCACATATTTTTCTTTGAAAGTACGATTCAAACCTTCTGAACTACAATCTTCTGTTAAAAAATAATTCACAAATCGAATATCTATTAAATGTAAGTTATTATAAGTACAGTCTATTTTATATTGCCTCAATATTAACCAGCAAAAACAATTCATAAATTTGATTTGTATTCTCATTCGTTTTAGGAGATTTTTTTATAACGATTTGTTAAAATAATACGTTATAAATGAAGTAATTAATCGTCGTTAAATATTAAATTTATTATTATTTTTTTTTGAATAAGTTAAAATGCTTTTAAAAGAAAAGACTACGATTATTCTAAAAAATATTTATATCATGTTAGATTGTTTAAATCTAGCTCTAATATGTACTTATGTTTGGGAAAAATACCATTATTACATTTATTTACTAAGGAATACTTTACTACTTATACTTATCTACTATACTTATCTAATACTTATCTACTATACTTATCTACTTTATTAAGGAATACTTTTTACTATGAAATATACGACAAAACGCTATGCTTACTATGAAATATATGACATTAATACACACAAACGCACGCTCACTAAATAACGACATTCACAAATGATTAAATTTATATTTAAAAGAGACTTTCCAAATAATGGCGTGTTTGATGCATTACCATTTTTTTCGTGAATAAATTCCGAGTATCATAAATGTTTTTAAGAACTCGCTTTTAGAAAAATCATTGCAGGCCCTATCCATAATATCCGTATTTTGAACCCTATTATCGTAGAAACTGCCTAACTTTTAACCCTTCGATTGTCTTATAGTTATTTTCAAGTTGTTCGTTCTGTGACCTACTTTCGTAAAGCTTCTTCAAGACATTTGACCTTGAAAGCGGAACCATTGTGTATCTTTTCACTTCGAAAAAATAAATAAAGCCTTGATGGTTCTCTCACATCCTACTTAGCGCCCATCATACGCAATTTAGCTGAGCGTGAGATTTAATTTGCATCCATAATTACCTCAATAATGTCAATGCGTATAATCGCTCCCCTTTCCACCCATTCAAATTAACAAAGTTCTTTTTTTATCGTCTGCCCGTTAATGATATACGCGCTGTTGCCATATCTGTTAGTAATTTTATGAAAGGAGGAAACTTATGGAATATTACAATAGGTTGTCGTAATTGTGTTTAAATTAATATTAATGAGACTTTGTTTGAATGCCGAAATATTAATATCTAATTCAGGTTTTGTTAATGAGTTTATCTAATATAATTATATTTTTGTTATTATTTTAATGCTGAAGTGTTTCGATTAAAAAAAAAAATATCGTTATCTTTAGGCTTAACATGATTTGAATATATTGCGGGGAAAAAATTCTTTTTTCATATTTCTTAAATAAATTTTGTTAAAAATAGCTCAAATTTTTATAAATGGTTTTGTGTCCATGTGTCAGACTGTCGAGTCATTTTTAACGTTTCGTTAATTTAAATAAAAACTTTTGATATTTGTTCCATAATAGCGGTTATTGCTATGTTTCAGAGATAGAATAACATTTTACCGTCGCTTTGTGAAAATGTTTATGCATTTTAGTGTATTTATTAAAGTGAAATTTTTATTAAGAATATCTTGCAATTTTCAATTCTAAACTTTCTTATCTTTTCTTTGATTTTTTATTATTATTTTTTTTTCCATTGATGATTGTTTGTATACCGTACAAAATTATTTTTAACATACACTTTGTAGAAAATATAAAAATAATGTTTTCTAAACTATAACATTGGAAGATTAGAAACTTTCTTTATTATTATTAATACGGAGTTATGTTTTTGCTTTTTAACGCTCTGTAAACCATTAGAAAATTTATGAGATTGCGTATTTTGTTATGTATTGCGTAAAATTTCCTTGAATCATCTAAAATTAACCCTTATTATTTATTTAATGTAGAGGCACAACTGAATATCTCGTTTGATCAGAATTTAAATAACACGTCGAAACGTGATAAGGAAAATCAATAAAATTACTCGAATATCTACGTTGTTGGGATAGCTTTCTTTTTTATTCCCCTCTTTCCTTAAAATTACACGAAGTAAAATTTTAGTATTTCAAAACTAAAATTAAATTAAACCTAACTGATTACACATGTGATTCTCAAATATATTATATCTCATTAAAAT